TATTATTTTGATTTAATTTAGTTTTTGGCTATGTGTTAGTTTATGATAATAACCTTGTGGATATCAAATGCACCTATTAAGTAACTCCCAATCAGATAAATGGGTATGTTAACAGATGAGTTTTTTTCAGGTATTATAGATCTCATTTTATCAGGTAGTGACAGATAATTGTTTTTTATTTTTTTCATATCATGATGTATATCCAACTGTAACAGATTATCAAACATGAAAAAATGTAGGGCGGGGACTTGGTTCTATTTATTGGTTGTTGCACTCAAAAGTGGAGGCAGATAAAGGTGAGTGAGTTTAAAGGAATAGTTTACCCAATTTTAAAATTTGCTGAAAATGTACACTCCCTCAGGCCATTCAAGATGTAGATGAGTTTGTTTCTTCATTGGAAGAGATTTGGAGAAATTTAGCATTACATCACTTGCTCACTAATGGATCCTCTGCAGTGAATGTGTGCCAAAAAACTGATAAAAACATCACAATAATTCACAAGTGATTCACAACACTCCAGTCCATCAATTAATGTCTTTTGATGTGGATAACTGCATGCTTGATGTTTTTATCAGCTGTTTGGACTCTCATTTTTGGGTGAACTATTCCTTTAAGTAGAACTAGAGAAGTCCTGCGTTCATCAACCCAGAAAAGTCTGTTGTTAAAAAACACACACGCACAGATTAATTTTTCACAATAAGATCTATAATATGCATTTACAAAATAGATAGGGTGAATTTCCGTTTCATGCTAGCTTTAAAAAATTGTTTTTTCTTTTTTTTTTTCTATTTCAAAAATGCTGTGGACACATTGGTACAACTGTGTTGTACAGGCAAAGTGAAAGTGAGTAGGTGTTTAAGAAGAAAAGGAGGGTAAAGTGTTAACTATGTGGCCTGCTTTCTAGGTCATAAATAGAATAGAGAGTGCGCTTTTTCATATCATGACTTAAATAGTAAATTTCTTTATAACCTGCTAACAATACAATAATGGACCTCATCTGAATCAACAGGCAGGATTGGACATCCGTACCCGTTAGTACACTTGCACCGCTTGCTGTCAATCTGGTTTAAGCCTTAAATGGAAAAAAACAGTATTGACGGGAACTGATCACTATTAGTTGCTGAAAAAGCAGAAAGAGATGGAGGAGATAGAGGCGGTTGACTATCAGATGCTATACTTCCTGTGCACAGTTGGGGCACACCTATGCTCATGCACTCTAACAGATTCAAAGAACCTGATTGATTACAGTTCTCATGCACCTGCAAAACCAAGTGGCATTTATTAAAAAGAAGAACACAATAAAAACATTTCTCAATTACTTCTGCTAAAATCTGTCTGAAATTATTCACAAAAAATCACCTTGGGAACAGTTAGTGGCCCAGAAAAGTCAGTGCTGACTAAAAGTCTAGCATAATTTGTGTAATATATATATACAGTATATATATATTATAAAATGCAATGACAATGACACATAGGTGTGATTTAAGTGTCCCTATATGTTATGAAGCCAACACACACACACACACACAGTTTGAAGACTGTATATAGTGTGTGCATATATACACAAATGTACATACATATACTGAACAAAATTATAAACGCAACACTTTTGTTTTTGCCCCCCATTTTTCATGAGCTGAACTCAAAGATCTAAGACTTTTTCTATGTACACAAAAGGCCTATTTCTCTCAAATATTGTTCACAAATCTGTCTAAATCTGTGTTAGTGAGCACTTCTCCTTTGCCGAGATAATCCATCCACCTCACAGGTCTGGCATATCAATGAGGCCGGGTGGATGTACTGCCCAATTCTCTGAAACTTCTTTGGACACGGCTTATGGTAGAGAAATGAACATTTAATTCACGGGCAACAGCTTAGTTCTATTGATCCCAGGTGTGTCTCGTCATCCCCTCGTCATGTCATGTGTATAAATAGTGTTCCCTGTTCTTAGTTCGGCGTCTGGTATTGTATATGTCAACCTCTCCTGCTACGTGTGTTTTCCTGGTTCCCTTGTGTTGGATGAATAAAGTCTTCTTGTTCCTCGCTCCCTCACAGTAGCAAACGTGACAGTATACATGTGCATTTGTTGCTGCCGTAAAGTAAATCTGCCCTGTTTGTTAAATTTCGTACCCCCCTTCACCAAAGTTGCTTGAAGGAAAGAAACAGAAGCCATTCGCCTTATAAGTCAGCGAAAGGTTTATGATTTATGACTTATGATTTTTAAACTAAACTTTCAAGGCAAAAAACTTGCATACAGTTACTTTACATCAGAAATGTGAAGATTATCATTTCATAAAAGCAATTGCATTATTTTATTGAAATGTGTATTATTCGCTCTCTATTAAGTTGCTCTCATCATTTTACTGTGGTTTTAAATTTTTAGGGATTACATGGTCATGGTGAAGAAGTAGAAAAATTGGAATTGGATTGAGCTTTACACTGAAAAGGTTAGTAAGTATTTGTATTTTTTTACCCCACACTTAAGTCATGTAAACATTTGTGTTGTTTTACGTCTTTGCAACTATTAACAGTGAATATTTTAGTGTTTACAGTTTGGTCGCATTCAGTTCCTTTTGTAAGTGCCTCCTGCAGCGGTTCACTGAGCTTCCTTTAAAATGAAATTAATCAAATAAATTAATCACAGAGGCTCTACATGTAGCATACATTACTTAAAAATTACTTAAAATTCACATTGCCTGTAGCAGCCCAACATGTGCTAAGTGTCACGGTTCAGGGTGCCTTCTCGGCTTCTCTTGCTGTCTGTGTTGTCCTTTCATTTTCGGCAGCTTGTGGTCTGGGCAATCAGTGCTGATCTTGCAGCGGGAGAGCACAGATCATGAGCTGACTCTCCCCCACCTGTCACCCACTCCCATATATGTCTCTGCGTGAGTAGATTGTTTTGTCTTTGCTAGTGTTCTGTGGATGAGTGTGAGCATCATTTTCTTACCCTCTGTGCTTCAGGACTCATAGCACGGTGATCTGGCAGCTCGAGTGGTCCGCATTCTCTGCCGGCCAGCTCTGGCATTTCCGCTTACCTGAGCAGTATTTAATTATTGTTTGTTATTTTGTGGCGAGAATAAAGGATCTCTTTTCTCACAACTCATTTGAGTCATCTATCTATCCCAGGCCGTGACACTAAGGTGTTTCTAATTGTACTCTGCAATTCCCTATGACGTGTATAAGTATATCATGAACATGAATTTGTCACTAGCAAGGGTCTTGATCTGCACTCATCAAGTGATTTTTATGGGGTCTTTAAACATAACAGTATCCCATAAATTTGTCTGTATAATAATGAGAAATCCAATGGCAAATGACCCAAATGAAGCAGTTGTTATGCATCATAAGGCCTTTAGGATGATATTGTCTGGGCGTTGATGAACTGCTGTCAGGAGCTCCTGCACCAGGGCTCCAGGGTTCTGTGGAATCCGGGTGAGCTGACACCAAATCCACCGTTGATATAAGAGCCTGATCAAAGCCGCACTGTTTTGCCTGACCGATTTTCACAGGATTACGGATTAGGGAGACAGGAAGCAGCGAGAGAGGCGTGGAGACAGGCAGAAAGAGAGAGGGGGAAGATGGAGAATGAGAGAGACAGACAAACAGAGGGCTAGAGGCCGCTATAATTATGTGGAATCACATACTGAATGCAGAAATGCTTAGTACAATAATGATGAAATGTGTTAAACCCCAAGACTGAAACTGTAAGAGCAGAAACAACTTGTTTTCTATTAAATGGTGTAATTTTTTTTTCCAATGGTGCAGTTTTTTATTTATTTATTTTTTGTTAAAGATCATTAGTTTCTCAATACAACATTTTGGTTGAATAGGGCCTGAATAGAAAATAGGGCACAAATCTCTTCAAACATTAGTTTTTTTTTTACAAACCAGTGTCAATGAAAGGAGGGGCTTAGCCTCCAGAAATGTTGGTCGATAACCTCAGGAGGTCAATAAATACATGAATAAATATAAACAAATAAATAAAAATATTAAAATGGTGTTTGTGAAAGAACAAAGTTGCAAGTAACAGGGTTGCAAATTTGGTCTAAATTAAGGTATTATTCATTACTTACTACAGTAGTTGCTGTCTGAGACCAAGCATATCTGTTAAATGTATCTAAAAAAAAGGCTCTAATGCCAATTCTGTAGAATAATTTTCAATGTCGTTCTTTGCTTGCTATGATCTGATAAAACACACATAAGCCTGAGGTCATGTCTTGCATCTGTGATACCCGTTTCCCCTGAATCCTTGCAGTGAGGCCCTGTATCTGTCATGCCGACAGCACAACCACAGGTTCATTAGGGTTGTGCAGCTGTAAAGTGTTGAAAGCTTGTAACTATTAAACATGGTGCAAGCAACTGAACACATGGGTCTTGAATAGCTCTAATTGAATAAACTGCTGAAGCAATCAGAATTGAACCTTTAGTAAAAACCGTGCTAAGACAGCAATTGTGAATTGCATCCCAGCGTAAAATATTAAAATGGTGTTTGTGAAAGAACAAAGTTGCAAGTAACAGGGTTACAAATTTGGTCTAAATTAAGGTATTATTCATTACTTACTACAGTAGTTGCTGTCTGAGACCAAACATATCTGTTAAATGTATCTAAAAAAAGGCTCTAATGCCAATTCTGTAGAATAATTTTCAATGTCGTTCTTTGCTTGCTATGATCTGATAAAACACACATAAGCCTGAGGTCATGTCTTGCATCTGTGATACCTGTTTCCCCTGAATCCTTGCAGTGAGGCCCTGTATCTGTCATGCCG